GTGAGATTTGGTTATTTTGGTCCATGGATTTGTTGTTTGGCAAGTGGATCTAGCCTCTACCCATCAATCCCCACCCTTCCCGCAACGAAATCCATCGAATTTGGCCATTTCCCAAAGATATCCGCCCAAATCAGAGACCACCGGGTGCCCGCATCCCGAACCCCCGAGTGCCCGCGCCCCCGGGCCAATTTCCCTTGACCACCCAGGGCATCCACACCTCCCACCCCCGGGTGCCCGCACCCCCCTCCCCCGAAACAGCACAACTACACCACCATTTTGGCCATAACTTTCACCTCCCAAGTCCATTTTTCGTGTTCGTTAGCTCGTTTGGAAGCTCTTGACATCCCCCATCCACATATATCATTACCACCACCTTTTGCCTCCATCAAAAATTTCACCACAAAAACTCCCACCTTCCGCATTTGATCGATTTTGAGTTACGGTTTCCGTTTCCTAAGGTGTTTTGGCTACTTAGGAACTTGTGACATCGACATCACCACCATTCATCATCGCCCCGGAGTCATCATCACCAACAATATTCACCATTGAGACTGCTAACCGTAAGCTAGGACGGTAACCTCGACGACACTTAGTTCATTTCCTTGCATTTGCATTGATAACCCAAGCCAATTTGCATCACTTACCCATCGAGACTAGCAAGTTGAGAATTGTGGGGCCACGCTATATTATGCACCGTAGTGATCTTGCTATCATCATTGTGCCCTAAGTCTGTCCCATGCATATCTTACATACTTGTCTCATATCATACTTGGCTCAAGCATCAAGCATAGTGAAAAAAGAAGCTTTTAAGCAAAAGAGGAGAAACAAAGAGCTTGTAAGCAATAGCATTGAGCCATTTTGCATTGCTACATCGTCTTGGTCATCACATACATAGCATAGTTGGGATTGAAGACGACACATTTCTCTTATAGGTTGGTGCACAGGCGTATCTTGCCCATTTGAGGAATCGAGCTAGCGTCTCTCTAGCATCCGTACAACAAGAGCATTTTTCCGTGGTTACACATCTTGAGCTCACTCCTTGGTTGTGCGGATTCCATCTATCTTTCGTGTTGTGTTCCTAGTGATATTCTTGGGTTTGGTCTATTTGCTTTACTTGCAATTTTGTGAACCTTCTCAACCTTATCGATATATTGACTAACATTTGCTTGAAATTTTTGTGCCACTATCCTAACCAAGCTCCTCCATAAGCTTTACTTGTATAGGTGTGAGAAACAAACCTGGCGCCAATTCTCCTGTTGTGGCATTACATTGAGCGATACTTGATACATCCACAATCCTCAAAAAAGGTAACTTCGGTATTGTTCTCTCATTTTCCTACTCACCCCACTTGGTTATGATGAATGGGAAAAGTTCTTCGGCAAACCCACTTTTCGAGGAGCAAGGTGATGATTGCGACTACGTCACCAAGAACCACTTTTTCGTCGCCCAACGAG